TTGCCCCTTTTATGCGGGGTCTACAATGCGAGTCGTGAGCAGACACAACTGTTGAGTTCGTCTTATCAACACTCTGCGTTGCGTGGTTGATTCTAAAAGTAAGAGCCACGCACGTTCAACTGTTAAGGGGATGCTGGAGCCGTAGCCGAACTCGATCGGCGTCGGTAAAGAAGACCGGCGAACTATATCTGTCCTTGTATAGACAAAGATATAGACAAGGATAGCACGCTACATTGCACGCACACATACGCACGATGCACACCGACATTATACTTTTATATTACGCTTCCAAATCTTGATTTGGGGGGTTTATCGATGTTTTTCTTGTTGTGCAATTCGGGGGAACTTGTTTTCGCGTTCGTACCAATGGTATATCTCTTATATGAAATACATCTTGTGACGAGCTGACAGCTCGCCGCAACTCGAGACGCCATATTGGAATAAGAGTAGGATAAGGATCTGTACTTCCGTAATTTTTTCTCGTTTTCTATATAAAATCGGAGTTTCCCCGAATCATTAATGTATGTACTGCAATTCTGGAGAAGGATTTTTAATTCTGTCAAATTAATATGACGCTACGTGCCGACAAAAAATGCCGGTAAAACAGACGGCTCCAGCATCCCCTTAAGGCCATTGCACGTAAAAAAATTTTAGTCATAATCGTAAGGTTTTAAGAAAATAGACCAATCACACTCGATTATTCTTCAAGCGCGAGAAGAATAATTGTCTGTGATTTGTCTATTATTTTCTTACGACCTTACGATTATGACTAAAATTTTGTTACGTGCAATGACCTTTAAGCTGGCCACACACACTTTCCGTAGAACGTAACAGTAGGATTTCGACCAATCGCGTTGCTCGATTCGAAAACGTACGGCCATACGTTCCCGAATCGAGTAACACGATTGGTCGAAATCCTACTGTTACTGTTACGAAAAAGTGTGTGTCCGGGGCCTTAAGGCCTTCACACACAAATCGACGGAAGACGTAAAACGTAAATCGTAAGGAAATCCACCAATCAGAGTCGACTATTCCCCTCTTTAAGAGGGAAGAAGAGGGGAATAGTCGACTCTGATTAGTGGATTTCCTTACGATTTACGTCTTACGTCTTCCGTCGATTTGTGTGTCCGGGGCTTTACTGAGCGGCTTGATCTGCTGAACGCGGCCAATCAAAACAGACGGAACAGAACGCGGGAATCTAGTACTGTCACCCTAAGGGTGCTGTCACATGGCAGTCAGAAATTCGGAAAACGGAATCTCGGAAAAGTAACGGAGAGGGGGTCAACCAATCAGAGTCAGCTCGATCGGTGCGATTTTTTAAGGGCCGGGCTCCCCATGGAACGACTTTTACGGAAAACTAAATGGCATTCTAACCTTAACATATTTTTAAATTAAAGAAATTTCTATATAATTTTAGAGTATAATAAAAAATACGTCGAAGCTTTATTTTTTAATAGACTCTACTACTACGGTAAGTATCTTTTTTCTTCTAAAACAATAAAAATAATTTTTTCAATTTTTACTTATTCCGGAAATATCAGTCCATGGGGAGCCCAGTCACAAAAATTTCGGACTGACAAGTCCGCAATTTTTGCATGTCTGACAGTATGTACATTAACTATTTATGTATTAAAAATTGTGTATTTATATTATTTTGTAGAGATAGAGATCATGAAATGGAAAAAAATTAAAATACTTTTAACGAAAGAATAAGTTATTAAATGCATTTAATAACTTCTGACCCCCTCTCCGTTACTTTTCCGAGATTCCGTTTTCCGAATTTCTGACTGCCATGTGACAGCACCCTAAGGGTACATTCACAGTACCGACCAAACTCGCGATTCCAGAGATGTGATTGGCCGTTAACGCCAATTTAGATAGTAGACGAGTGTTGCGAACCGCGTTTCAAGCCCGCTGATAGTCGAACGACGAAAACTTGGCCGTACATACATCAACTAAAATTTACTAAAACAAAAATTTGCCGTGTTATTTTCACATTCTCAGTGCCTCTGGTCGCGACTCGCGAGTCTCGAGCCTTGAGAAGAATCGGCATATTCGGCATTCGACGATCATCGCTCGCGCCCGCGCCTCCGCGTCCGTCGCGGTCGTCGTGGAACGGCGGAACCGCGGAAGACGGGAGAGAGAATGAGGGAGTCGTATATCTGAAAATCTGAGGGCCGATTTCACAGTCTCCGATTAAACTCACGCTTCGTCTCTTTCCAGAGGGACAGTTAGAAAGAGATGCAGAGTGAGACTGTGAAATCGGCTCTGAATTGCCGAAGTGGAACGCTGCGGAACGTGGAAGGTGGAACTGCCAGGGAGGCACCCGCACAAGGCCCCGTTGTCGATTGTTGACTGTCGAGTGTCGAGAGTGGTCGAGAGTGTCGAGTCGAGCGTCGAGTCGAGCACGTCTACTCGCAGTACTCGCCGTCTGCGGATAGGTAAAGCTGCACTATTTTACGCTATTTGCACCTGAAATAAGATAGATATGTGATTTACGTGCGAGGAAAGAGAGACGAGAGGGAGAGAGAGAAGCCTTGCGATTTGCGAATTGCGAGAGAGAGAGAGAGATTTGCCAGCACAGCAGGCACAGCTCCTAGATGACAATATGACAGACTCGGAGCTTTCTCGCGGCGAGCGGCGAGCGGCGAGATGCACCTCCCTCCTTCTCTTTCTCTCTCATTCTCTCTCTCGTCCTAGAAAGTTTTCCCTGCACTTTTTTCCAGCGGTCGAAAGTGACCTTACCTTACAATCCTTACGTCTTACTCCGGAGTCCGGGCCGAAGTAGCGATCGCGTCGCGATTATCCCGGCGGAGGAGGCACGTGAACGATTTTGTGTGACGCGAGTATTAATTCCGCAAGTCTGTCACTCTTGGTCGGCAAATACGCACGTTTCGGCAGCTAGGTACAGTACAACATGGTTCTGTATTTTAATTTGAAAAGTGATAGCTGTACGAGATAAGAGACAGTGAAAGAAAGAGAGAGAGGGGCGAGAGGGAGAGAGAAATTCGTTCTATCTCGACACTTCGAGATAGACAGACAACTCGAGACTCGAGACAACTTGTCCTAGGAGCCTAGGAGCAACCGTTGAAGGATATGATTACATTGATTTGTTAAATTTGTCCTAGTAAAGATCCGTTAGTTAGATCCGTATTGTTGGCTAATATTCTAAATTTAATCCCGCGTGGTGTTAACGAACTCCGAAGAAAAACAAAGTTGTGCTGTTATCGCCAATATTTTATATTACATTCCCGCTTATCTGTGGACTCTTCTTGTTTCTAGAATGGCTCGTGGACAGCAGAAGATACAGTCTCAAGCTAAGGCGGCGGAAAAAAGCGCGAAACTGAAGAAACAGCAAGGACACAGTGCCAATGATCAAAAAAAGGCAGCACAGAAAGCGCTGGTGCACGTGTGTACCGTATGCAAAGTCAGAATCTTTGTTGTCTGTGGATTTTTCGAGACTCCTTTATATAGATTTGACGTAAATTCTTTATTTGCAGGCCCAAATGCCAGATCCTAAGACTTACAAGCAACACTTTGAAAATAAACATCCCAAGAATGAACTGCCAGATGACTTGAAGAATATATGAGGGTACGAACTGTTGTACTACAGTGGGGATTGGGTGAGAACGCAGGAAAAGTTTGCTGCAACTGACAAAGTGATATAGTTCAACATTCATCTGATCATTGCATAGTTTGAGAAAATGAATTAAATCTTGTTAGTGTTTTAACTAATCTATCGCACTCAACAGATTGTTGTGCACAACTCAGAATGTTAAGCGTAATTGATGATTTACTTATGGAAAATCTTGATTTGTAAACAGTTTTTGCATACGTATCATATAATCAATACTTTTCACGTAAACGTTACATCTGGAGAGATTCTGTGTATATTTCTAAATAAAGTTCATAAATTTCATGGCAAAATTCTGAAATATTTTAACGAAAGGAAAAACGCAGTATATCGTCGATTTTTTAATTCTATTACGAAGGAAGATAATTTATAAGAATAATACAATATAAATGATTAGAAAGAATAATTAAATCATTATTTATTAAAAAAAAGCATTCTTATCCAAGTTCTTTATAACGTGTTATTGCTTGAAAATATTTCTATTTGAACGAATGCGCGTTATAGAAAAATGTTCTCGCATTATAAATTTTAATTCCATACTTCTTCATGACAGGAATATTATTTTCTATCATTATCTTTGTTGCATTTAATTAATAGTTGTGGTATATTTTAAGGTAGAAGTTTATAAAAACGGTTTTTAAATTATAAGAGGTTGAATGATACACAACAGTCTTTAACTACATGACCAACTGCCAATTTATAGTTGATTGTATTGTATGCTCTTTAAAATAAGAACGATCTAAGTGGGGATATATTACATAAGCCAGCCTTCCCTTCACGTTTGTAGAGGTAAATATTTTTATTTCTGTTTGTAACGGGGCTTGTCATTCGCATTATACCGGGCTATTCACAGACATACGCATAATTCCTGTTACATAAAATATTAATAATAATGCATTTTATATGCTCGTAAAATATGTAGTACTTACAGTACCGTAATGAACTAAGAATAATTGATTCATCCTACATTGTTATGTATTTATGTTATTATAAGAAATGTAAGAATATTCTGTTGGCTTCAATAAAGAATCCATTATTCTTCGAATGTAATATTATTAACATATTTCAGAACGCAGATTCTTTCTTTAGATACGAACGCGCGAACGAAACGTCTGTTTTAACATTGAAACTTCATTACACACATATTGCGCAAATGTTGTGAAAGTACACATTCGGATCGATCGCGATTATCTTTTGCAGTTTTATTTGTTCGCTATCGCTACATCATCAACTTGCGAGTCATCACTTGCGTCATATCAGAATGCGTTTTCTTGATAATGATGACGTTGTAATGATGACGTATAATAAACTCTGCGTTGCAACGTATTTCTCAGATAATGATACTACCAACGATATTCGCACAATGATTGTACAATTTCGTGATAAAAGTCTGTCGATTATTACAGTCATGTAGCGAAGTAACCGGCACATTATAATTAGCTTTCGGGCCAGAAATAAAACAGAACGCACTGAAATGGTGATTGATACAGCGAGCATAATTAAATAAATTAAAATTAAAATTTTATCAAGGGCTCAACGGATTAAGAAATCAAATAAAGGCAATAGAGATTACGAGCTGAGCTATGTTTTTATGCTACAATTTAATGCTAAGACTAGTGTTGATTGTACTACAGGGAATAATTATTTAAATATAGTGATGGCAATATCTCTGAGTGGCTCCACCTAATGAGAGGTCATTTTTTTCAACAATTTCTGAAGCTTTCGACATTTTTGGACATATTGTAAGATACATTAATAGGGAAACGCGTTAACAAGAAGAAAAATACGAAAGACGAACTAGCGTTACTTGATAAGTCAGTGTATATAAATAATTTAATATAATATTTACATAACTTCGATAACAGTTTATAAATTACAACTGAGATTGTGGAGAATTTTGTTAGCAAAGTTATAATAGATATTAAGTCATTGATATATCAATAATGTATCTCTCAAATGATTCCAGCTTCTGTCGTATTCTTCTTCTTTGTTAATGCGTTTTCGAACAGCTTTGCCTTAACTGTGTCACTAAATGTGTCACTATATATATAATGCAAAATATCTGACAATGAGTATCTACTAAATTCGCTGGTGTAAATATTTTTATGGCTATATGTTTAGGCTTCGAGCTATGTTATATCAATTGGTCACGTCATATGTATTTTAGATTTTAGTCGATAAATGTTATTTATGTTATAGATGATGTAATATCTGTACATGTGTTTTAGAAAATGTTAAAGGACAACTTTTGGATGTCTTAAGACATGCGTCTTTTAGACGTGCGTGTTGTCTGAAAAAGATTCGTTGTATACGTGAAAAAGGTGATCATATAAGAATAGGAGCATTAGTATTGAATACTGATCGATTGCGAAGAGAGAACGCGAGTTGCAAGGATGACTAGCGATATTTAATTGACGCTTGAATACAAAGTGAAGGAGCACTTGCTAATTTCTCGAATATTGCTATAATTGGCGACTCACGATCGCAATCTCGGCGAGTCTCGGGATTGTATCTACGAAAATTTTCTTCAAAGTCAGAGGATGTCACGATCGTCGCGATTGGTTGGGGTCGTTCGCTTTTATCAAATGTTATTAAACCGAATCGTCGGCATCGCGCGAAAACTTACATCATATTGAGAAGTAATCCAGTGATAGAGTCATATTAGCACATTAGTGTATGAGTTCGCGTTATCGCACCGACTCTTATATACATCATAGCCGATAGCGTATATAAATGCGGCGATTGCTATATCATCGCGACAGTTTTCATTTACGTGTATAGTGTGCGGTTTTCGTATTAATATTCAGTGTCGAACGAGAGCTGTACGGTTTCGTCGTCGTTGAATTGAAGGTACGGTATCTCGTATAAGAGAGGAGGAAATAACAAGTTCAAAAATGCAAATAAGCGGTTTGATCCACATTTTTCTTAAGAAGAAAAAGTGTAAAAGTTAAATTTAAATTTGCGCCAATTTCTATTCATTTTTTATCGTTGTAGTTTAAGTAAATTTAGATTTTTCCTAAGTTGTTAAAAAAGTGAGTTAAGAAAGAGATTATTGAACTCTTCAAATACATTTTTATTCTGTAATTGTGAACCAAGATTTAATTTGTGAATTATTAGGAAATAAAGAAAAAAGAAGAATATAAAATAAGCGATGACAGCTAAAAATTGGAAAGTTATTCTTTCATGCCTAAGATTCATTTCTATAATTCACTTGAACTTGAACGATTTGCGCTAAAAGTCAAACTATACATATAGCCGAACGATCCATCAATCAATAAAAATAAATTATCGCGACATTTAAGACTGTACGAATAATTTGACGATTTCATCAATCTGACGTTATCAATTATCAAATGTATCATATTGAATAGTCGCAGAGTAGTTGTTATATCAAAATTATCATCGAGAGCCATTATCATGTATATATTAATATTGATTGTTACAATGAATATTCCTTCCGCTGCACTGTCACTGCTTGGATTCCGGTGACGCAGAGTTGCATCATTAACACGTTTAATTACGCGACCGCTTCCGCGTTTAATCTTGTGCACCGAGATCGTCGCCCGCGCTCAATCAAGGTGTAAATAGAAAATGCTAAGAGACGACGGAATTATTCTCAATGGGCACGTGGCATCGGATAACATGGGAAGGAGAGGTCACCCTTCTTTCATTTGCCCTCGGTATAAACCTATTGCACGCTTGACTTATGTCAAGAGCCCTTGATAACATTACGCGAGATAACAATAATTTATGCGAAACACCGTGCTGACGAAGCTATCTGGCGAAGTCACTCTTGTAGATAGGAATTTGTGCCAGAATGGGCGATTAATCTTGGTTTCATTTAAAAAAGCAGTTAACATGTAGCAGTAACAAATAGTTAACGTGGGACAACATGAAAAATAGTCAATTGAAATTATAGGTACGATAATTATAATCGGGATTAAATAATCTACATGCATGTGTGTAGTCGAGCAAATATAGTCACAAGAGAAAAAAATAATGAAAAGAATAATGAAAAAAGATATAAAATACTCGCTATTTTATGCATATGACTAAGAAATAGTGATTGAAACCACAAAGGCAAAATAGCGACATAAACTGTATGATTTCTTTTTAATAAGTTAATTCTTTTCAACATATTTTTGTTTTCACAGTACAATTTATACCGCGTTGGTTCCATAGTTCTATCGTAAGGTCTCATTCCCTCGCGATGGTGGATTCCGTGTTTCGTACCCGTTCCCTCGGTACGGCAGCCGAGGGTGTCAGGGATCAGTACGCGGATGGCAAAGCGGCAAAGGTCTGGGAGGTTTTCATCGGCGACAAGAAACAACGTACGCAAAACTATCGGGACTTCCTGGTAGGGCTACTGCGGCAGAAGGGATGTCATCGAATATTGGATGTCGCCTGCGGTACCGGCGTCGACTCCGTGATGCTGCTGGAAGAGGGTTTCGAAGTCGTCAGCGTCGATGCATCTGACAAAATGCTCAAGTACGCGCTAAAATCCAGATGGGATCGTAGAAAGGAGCCTGCCTTTGACAACTGGGGTGAGCAAGTTGGACGTTTGATATTTCAATAGGATTCGATTTTTCATGCTTAAAAAGATCTGAGAAAAATTAAAGAAAGATAAAACGCGGAAGATATTCTGCGAAATGTGAAGAGAAAAACAAGCGTTAATCATTTCACACAGAAACTCGAAATAACGTGTTGACGCAAAAGAGTTTTGGCTCTGAAGATTTAAGTGAATGTTGCAACAATGCAAGACATTGAGTGCATTTATGATGATTTTTTTGCGTATCGATAAAAGTTGTTATTGTTAACGCGTATGGGTTTACACAATCTAACAAAATGTTATTTATACACAATACATATACATATATTTACATGATCATTGTGAAATCAAAACCAGATAAACCAGTTTAAAATCGCTCGAAAACAGCCACCGGATGACCGGATTGCTTATCGTTATACTTAAAACTGGATTGCTTTATCAGTAATAGAAGTATACCTAGAAAGAAAGGATCTTGCTTATCAGCAAAGGTCAATCGCGACATTTCGTTTTCTAGCTTGCTAGCCTTCGGCCTTGTGATTTCAATCACATATATTAAACTGAAAATGCGAATTATTTATATGTCAACAAAATTGAAGCAAATAATGATATCAAAAGTTATACTAATAATAATTAACAAACTATTTTAATTATTGGAATTTTAGATACTTTTAATTTTTAGAGTATTAAGGAATTATATTCACAAAAAAGTCCTAACGAAAAGTCTAAGAAAAAAAGCAAAGATTTTATTGTCGACGTCTAATTTAAGAGAATTTTATAAGTCTCTGCTGAGAAACACCTTTACAATGATTATCATTTTCGATTGTGGCAGTGATCGAAGAAGCGAATTGGCTAACTCTACCCAGCGATATTAACCATCTCATTGGAGAAGGCTTCGATGCCGTTATATGTTTGGGAAACAGTTTCGCTCACATGCCCGATTCTTTCGGTGATCAGAGAGAGCAGAGGTATTAAATTTATCATATTAGATCGTATTAGATTAGATTATCTTTGGTTGATATTTCGGAGCATTGGTTCTCAAACTTGCGAAATCTGAAAACTTGATGGATTAATATATGTCAATTATTTATACAATATTTTATTATTCTAGACGAGCTTTGGCGAATTTCAAACGTTGTGTAAAGCCGGGAGGCTTATTGCTCATCGATCACAGGAATTACGATTACATCATCAACACCGGTCAAACTCCTTCAAAATGCATATATTATAATGTAAGTGAACATTAGAAGAAAATATTACACTCTTTCATTATTTGGGAAAATTTTACGTTAAAAACTGCCAACTTTTCGTATTGCAGAGTCAGCGTATGACGGACATCAAGACATCAGTGCTTTTTGTTTCCGGAAAACCAAAGATTGTTATTATGGATTATATGATCGCTCTGGATGAGGAAGACAATGACAATCCCGAATATATTAGCGAATTCAGGCTGTCATATTATCCTCATAGATTGACAATTTTCCGCGACATGCTAACCGAGACATTCAGCCACGGGGCGAAACACACCATTTACGGTGACTTTAAACCGCTCAATCAGGTCGACCAACCCGGGTTTTACATCCACGTACTGGAGAAGCAACGTTAAAGTGAGACATCGATATAGACAGTCACTGTAACTACGTGCTTTTGTTTTTAAATGATATCATCAGTTTTTCGGAACAAACGTTTCGCATACAGAATGATATTCGACGTAGAATGTGTTGAATCAATTAGGTTCATGAAATCACGAGAATTTCGCGCGCCGCGCATGAATCTTGAACAAGTGAATAAGTTTCACGATTCTAGAAAATATAATGTAGAGAATGCAGATTATTTTGAAAAAGCTCCCGTTTTAAGATTCAGAAAGTTTCTGAAACTTAATCGTCAATGAGAGAATTTCTCGGAGGAAATTGCAACTTTGTTATTCGCTTGCCTTTTAGATGTATTCTTGTTTAAATTCATTCAAAAAACACTGTTCATTTCGTAAACAATACTCATTTTTCTTAGAGGCATTTCTAATGAAAGCGAATAATTGAATTGTGTATTTGTCTCGAATGCTCTCTCTGTGTTAGCTTTGTTAATAATGTTTTCACTAGTAACTTCACCAGTTTTCACTTATTTATAAGGACAATAATAATTAACACGACAATAATAATTAGCAATAAGAATTAACACGAAAAAAACTGAAACACATATTACAAAGAAAAATGGTTAATACTCTTTGTGTTTGATATCGAAGTAAATATTACATTTTGTTCGTGGTTAATCACGATCACCATTCGAATTGAGTTTGCGTTTATCTATATTACTGAGTTTCGTGTTGCGCGTTTCATGTGTCAGCGGGTCACGTGCATCCCCTTGGCAGTGAAAAGGTTCCATCAGGCGTGGAAATTGCTCGCGGCTATCGCTACATCTGGTAGTTACACTGACCGGCTTTTAGCTGTAAACGAGTCAATGGTTGGTTTGTCATCAGATTACAAAACCAATCAAACCCAATGTAATTCGACTTGGCGTTAATCGGACCCGTTTTCTAGCGTCGGCTTTTTCGGTATCACTAGCTGAAGGAGAAATTCGACGACGACGCGTCACGGCGGGCTAGAGCCTAGAGCTAGAGAAAAAGGGCGAGACAACAGGGGTTGCGCGCCGCGACGCGCCGCGACGCGCTGTTGTGGGTCTGTGAGTGGGGGATATGGTGTTTCTTCTTTCGGGGGTAGTCAGCGCCGCCACGGCATCACGCAGGGTGAGGGTGAGTCTCAGTTCTCAGTCTCCACTCGGTCATCCTGCCGAACGGATGAATTTGGGTGAATTGGAGGAATCTATCTATTCGCGCGTACACGCTCGTTCTCTCACACAAAATTCCACTCGAATTCGGTTTTTCCCTACTCCCCTTGACCTTTAGAGAAAGGTTGGTCAACTTTGGCTCGCGGATAATTTGTTACTTGAACACAGTGTTTGTATCTCTCCTATTTGCCACCAAGATATACGTATCGGGTGCAATTTGTGCAATTTTTGTGTGGGAACGTGGTGCCGCAACCGGTCAGCGCGTGTGCACCCCACGACGATCGATCGACTCGGGATACGATACGATCCAGAGAGGCGATGGACGGAACCACCCTCCTACGAGACGACATAGGAACTCGACGAGATAAGGAACTCGAAGACAAGGAACAATAATATACGTGCTACTGGTACGCGATTATATGGCAAGATCGGATCGCGATTGCTCGATTTGCTCCAACCGCTCCGATTGCGCCTGATATGCGCCGACTTGACGTTATAAAGCTTATCGAGAAACAGGTCTATAACGGTCGCGCCGCGTGGCATGTGACCTAGCTCGAAACGATCGTTCTTGCTCGGTCCCGAACTGCTGCGTGAGGCGTGAGGCGTCAAAAATTTATCGCGCTTTCTGTAATCATGATCCTTCAATTGAAAGATATATATATAAGTAAACGATCGGCAGAATTTATGATCTGCCAATTAAATGTTTTTAATGGAGGGATAGGTAACTAGCGATAACTTGCTTTGTTCGTATTAGAGACATGTACATATATTGGAGAACAGGTGAAACTGGAAGCACAGGAAAGTATAAGATGAATCCTTAATCGTAATCTTGAGAGATGACGAATGTGTTATAGTACGCGAGAAAATTATTTATAAAGCTAAAGGGGGATGTAGTATATTTTAGTAATAGTAATAAGTAATACGCGGAGAATCTGTATATATATATATATATATACTATCTCTTTCTCTTTCTAGTTCTCGATGTTTCCTTGCTTGCAAGTAAATCGTCTCAGATTGTGTTACAGAAAAATCATAGAATAATAATATTGACCAAAATAGCCTGTCATTAACAAGGATGCGGATAATTAAATTAAATTTACGTTATCCGACAGAATCGTATTCTCAAGAATGTTGATTCAAGTATATATGACAGAATATTGATGATATCTTTTTAATGATATTGATATATATTAAATTGTTTAAACAATACATACGATAATATATATAGATTTAAGATATATTATACTACTAATATTCGTTATGATGATTCACAAACGATCGTCCATTGTTTTACTGATTTTGATTGATGCTTAATTATCAAGCTAATGATCATATAATATGTTGCTCATTTGATGAATTTTAACATTATGTTACCTATATTAGAAATTACATCGAAAATAAGAAAAATGACAAATGTAAGATTAAGCAACTAATAACTTGATAAAAACGGGAACAGAAAATTTCATCATCATTTAACGAGGAATTATTTTTCGTTTAAAATCGCGACGATTTTGAATATTGATGTTATTATAAATGTTTACCATCGGCTTTCACTTCTTCAACTTTTGAGAATATATTATATGTATATATGGAGGGGTAAAAGTCATAGTGGTGTAAGTCAAATTTTTTTAAATTTTTTCTCACGTGCATAGATGCAATCTATACAATATATAAATTGCATCTATGCACATGAAAAAATATTTTTAAAAATTTGACCTACTGACCACTGGTTTTTACCCCTCCATATAATGCGTATTTGAACGTGTTAAATTGAGGCAGCCTCAGTAGTCGACGGTTTTATGGGAAAGGATAAGCAACATCGAGTTCTGTCGGCTGTCAAGTGTCGACGATTGAATGATCTTAATTTTATTTCGCATGGCAGTTACTGACAGCATCACATGGATACGACAGAACTCGAAACTAGTGCAATTCTTATAAAACTGCACTTTTTACAAATCTGTTAATCTGTCTTGTTAATGGGGAAACTTTGTTTAAGAAAGTAAAGAAAATGCTCATGAATATTCGTAAGTTTTAAGCTTTTCATTTTGATCGTTGCTAAACACAATTGAATATTATATTATAATACTATCTTGTATTTTCATACATAGGAGTCATTAAATCAGTTAACGCATATAATTTAATCATGATGACAACAATATTCCGTTTTGTCGTAGTTTATGTTTGAAATTTATTATAAAATTACTATTTTGTAATTGACAATTGATTCACAATCATGTTCACAATAATATCAATAATAATTGAATTTTAGCACAATCATTAAATCACATAAGTATGGTAAGCAATTCAAGACGTTTGTAACGGAAAATGCTGACGGTATTGCTGTCAGTAGCATACCCGTATGCCAATATGGAAAGACATCATGATATTCTTATGTTTCCACCCTTACTTGTCGAGTATGATGGCTTAGCAGAGATCGGAATGCATCATAGTCGATTGCGCTTGAATAGGAAGTCTCTCAATCTTACTCTCCAAGGAAACTAAGATGCGGAAGTCAAAGATATCCGCCAAGTTTCATCAATTAAAGCTGTTATGTTGAACTCTGATACCTTAATATTCTCGATCTATAGTGGCTTGTAATTCATTGAGAGTTACAAGTATCTACACGATGTCGTTAATATATCAGTAATCTATCACTGACTTAAGTTTCGTATATCACGTTCTTATATGATTAATAGATACAATTTCAAGCTACTTTTTCGACACGATAGAGTGTATTTTTTTTTGTTAAAAAAAGACGTGAATCAAAAGACATTTTCTCTGAAAAATGTAACATTTTCTTCGAAAATGTATCGCTCTAGTAATGTTTGGTTAAGTGCTTGAAGTGCTTTTGATTATTCCCTTATTTCCTTTTCTGTATATCGACTATGACAAGTTGCCGAAAGAAATGCAATGAATCGTTTGACCATATTCGAATGGAAACGTACATAAGAGGAAAAGGAGATAGGTAGCATCCGATGCAGTATCTTAAATAAGAAATTAAAAGAATTCGTGATTTAATCGAATCTATGTGGAATCAGTGATCCGCGTGCTGATCTGTGGTAGCCGAAATGTTATTTCTCGCAATATCAATTTCTCGATATAATAATGTTAAAATAAGAAATAAGAAATTATTCTCGCCAATATCCGCATTAAGTTCGTCTTAACCTATTTTTTCTTTTGTGGATTTTCCTTAAAGATATTTTTTTATTTTTACTCTTATTTTTTTATATCAATTTTTGTAATTAATATTAGTCTTTCGACATAATTTTAAATATTGTTACTTTAATGCTAATATTTACGATGCTGGACAAAGATTATTACAACTTTCGCACACTATATTTATATTAAATGCAAACAATTCGCGTGTAAACAATTTATATTCGTAAATATAATTGCATTTGTTGTAAAATGTTTAAAAGTGCAAAAGTTTGACGAAAGTGGAGCTGATTTGATGTGACTGATTAAAAGACAAAATGCAACAAGGAATTTCCTGGACTTTCATTCAGTTTCTACATATCGATTAAGCGAAGAGAAAATCCTCACGAGCTTTTCCGCTCGATGTTTTCGTTTGCCCTTTACTATCATACCAGCTTTTTCATACAAAGAAATATCTCCAATTTTATCTTTCACGTTTTATCATCTATCCGTTACACACTATTGATTCGGTTTTATAAGTTCGTCAACATAGTATATATAGTAGGTACATATCATAGTTAAACTCAGCAGTTCTCTTTTCTTTCTCGCTATCGATGTAATACATTTTGTAATTCATTCACACTTTTTAACATTTCTTCCTTTATCTATACTATAAATCTAGTAGATTTTGACTTTTTTTTTTTTTAACGCGGGGAAATCTTCTACTACTGGGATCTCAGGCCGAAGCCCAATTTGCCCAGTAGCCCCTTCAAGAAGGAGAAGACTCCCTCGCCTCCGGGAAAAGACGAGGGGAGTGCCGGATTTTTACCGGCTAAAACCCCGCGGGCGTCCCTCTCGGCACGTTTAAGTGAGGGGGCAGCGGGTAGCGCAATGATTCGTCCGCCGCCCCCTCCAGTAGATTTTGACCTAGGGATATAATTTTGTTACTTCTGTCCTGTTTTGTTCTGTTTAGATATGTTGAATTAGTATAATAACATATGTATTATATATTATATTAATGTCATATGAATCTTTTTTATAGTTTTACTTATACATATATAAACAGGATGAATCACTAAATGTGTTACAGGCTAATATTTTTGAAACTAAGCGAGATATGAAATTCTTATTTTTTCGCAACTGTTTGGTATCGAAGCGAACGAAAAAAATTGACTTCATTACACAATATCCGCTTCGATACCAAACAATCGCTGAAAAATTAGTTTCATATCTCGTACAATTTAAAAAATATTAGCCTGTAACACCTTTAATGATTCACCCTATATATCGTTATTTTCTTTCGTAAATTACCTATGATGCAAGCATTTATAAGATGTAAAAATTTCAAAAATCTTTTCGCATGAAATATTTCTTTTCTTGACTAATCGTGTAATATTTCGTTAATTTATTCGATTCGATTCATATGTTAATTTGTAAAATCAAATGATTCTAATTAATATAGCTAATTTGAAGAATATATATTATATATGTCAATCGAAAATTGGATTTTAATTTCTATAAACAGTAAAACGGCACTATAAGAAACAAATTGTATAAAAGTCTGTTAAAACTGTAGACTATATAAAAGGGCGGAGAAAATAGACGAGTGTATTTATATGTTCGCGAATTTTTAGTGTGGACGTGGACGCGAAGTCGCTGTATAACGCTGCAAGGTGCAATTTTTTGCATGAGCGTCATGTCATTCAAATATCGGATCGTGTCTGAAAATAGGCCAAGTGCATTACAAAGAAAAAATAAAAAAACTGAGAATTTAGTGAGTTTCATTTTCGGAACATGTAGAACGTATTTTACATTTCATGTTTTGACTGCACTTTTTCTAGTTTGACTCTGTATAACTTAATCTAGCGAGCTATTTGTCTTTGCTATGACAACTGTATGTAATCTTAATCTGCGAATATTTCACATATCAATCTTTGTGATGACAAGCCGATCCATGGATTAACACTGATACAGCATCACACGTATAATAAACACATTATGTTTTAACGTTTTTACTGTAAAATGTATATACTTGGACTCATTTATTTACAAGAATTGCATGTTTGTATCATTTCTTTCTTTTGCTCTCTAGATGAATAAAACTTTAATCGAATAGTGCGTACTTATCTACTTTCTCAGTTTTTGTCGGTAAACGATATTTTATGATATCTTTCTATTGTCCCGTTTTACATTTTTCTTTCCTTTACAACGCATTCTCGTGACAGTCGACTAGTAAATTCATCGCATACTTAAATGCTAAATCAAATTCGCG